ATGAGGACTGGAGTTCAGATCTCCAGAGCCCGTGTAAGTGCCACGTGGAAGTGGTGGCTCACCTGTAATGCCAGTTCCTGGAAGATAGTGATAGGCTCCCCAGAGCAAGCTGACTAGGCAGACCAGCCATATTGGTGAGCTCTGGTTTTAAATGAGATTCTGTCTCAATGAATAAGGTTGAAAATGATAAACAAAGATTCCCACCATCAACCTTGGGTCTCCACACACATGTACCTGTGCACACGCATGAAAACATTCACACATATATGCATACACACTACACACATAAACACATGAGGGGGGAAGTATTCTCACTATGGTTGCTTCCCAGGGACATCCTTCTAGGCTAAGGTGCTTGCCAGCACATGAAAATGGGATAAATGTGTTTTGTTTGCTTTGGTGGCTGACCAAACCTAAGGCCTTCTGCATGTGAGGCCAGCAGGCTACCACTGAGCTACATTTCTAGTTCTTGAGTTCCCAAGATAGGGTTTGTGTAGCACAGGCTGCCTTCAAACTTGTCATCCACCTGCCTCAGTCTTCCAAGTTCTTGGAATGAGAGTGCAACATTCCTGGCTCCAGATGAATTTTTAAAAACAAAACAAGAGATAAAACATACTTAAAGCAATTTTACAAGCATCTGGTGTATCATTCACGTCTGTGTGTACAATGGTCATAGAACACTTTTAAAACACAACTCATTCTTGGAATGCTTTTAGGAAGATGAAGTTGGAATTTATAAAATAAACTCTTTTGGGGGTGGTATCTCAAAAATTGTCATATTCAGAACTTTGTCGCTATCGAAAATAAGGCACAAAAGTAGTGGTGGGTAAAGAGGAGGAGCAATGGAGAGCATTCTGTTAAACGACAGGGAAAAAACAGTAGTGCATCTCAACAAAAGGAAACTTAAAAATTAGAGATGCTAAATCTTTAAAATGGCAGGAAAACAGAGATGATCCACAAACTTACTAATTTGTCAAACCATGCTAAATCTCCAGTTGAGAAAGCTGTCCACTTTGCACATTGAGAGAGACAACAAGTTTCAGTTTAATGAAGTTATTTCTCATTTTGCTATTAATATGCCTTACACAGGGGTGTATTAATAAATTATCATACCCAGCACTAGGCACTACCATTTAGCCTGGTATGAAGTAAGCAGACTTCCTCCACGTGAAAACAGGAAGGTTTTAACTACTAGAAAAGCAATTCCCTCTCATTACATGTGGCCAGATCAAAGCATTCTGGATTCTGTCTTCAGGCAGGAAGAGATTAAAGCTGAGATATTAAAAGTAGTGCAAGATTAGTAACACATCACCTCAGCTACCAAAATGTCAGATGGCAAAAATGTCATATCACTGCTTTTAGTTTATTCCTCTGCCTTCTTTTTTTTCCTGTGCATCCCTGGAGAGAGAGAGAGAGAGAGAGAGAGAGAGAGAGAGAGAGAGAGAGAGAGAGAGAGAGAGAGAGAGAGTGAGTGTACTTGGAACTTTCCAAGTATTGTAGGTTGTCTGGCCAGCAAGTTTCAGGGACCCAACTGTCTCCACCTCCTCAATGTGTATCTCCAAGCCTGGTTGTTTTTTGTTTGCTTGCTTGATTTTGAACCTGTGTTTTGGGATTTGAACTCAGCTCTTTTTGCTTGCAAGGTTGGCGATTTGCCAACGGAGCCATCCCCCCAGGCCACCCTGCCCTCCCCCACAATTGTAACTGCTGTCATGCCACAGCTGTAGAAATGACTGTAAGGTACAAACACGCCAATAATCTGTCTCTGGCAGTGGTATATAATGGTACACCATTTAGGGACAAACGAGAAGAAAACAGAACGATTTATGACCTTTAAGAATTTTCAAATTAAGCTGGGTGTAGCAACATACACCTTTAGTACCAGCACTCAGGAGGCAGAGGCAGGAAGATCTCTATGAGTTTAAGGCCAGCTTGGTCTACAGAGTGAGTTCCAGGACAGCCAGGGCTATATAGCGAGACCCCATCTAAAAACAACACAAAGAATTTCAAATTAAATGTCATTGTTTAGAAGAAAAAGTTTCACATTGAAGGGTAAGTCAGAGCCAGCTAAGACTTGATCCTGACCCAAGGCTACTTTCACGAGGGACAGTGCTGCAAGAGACAGCAAATAGGCTTTTAGAGGGAGGAGACAGACAATCACCCCATCTCTGTAAACCAAAAGCCTTGTGCAACTACTACCTCAGCCTCACCATGCTTACAGACCCAGACACTAGTATTAGTAAGTACCTGAAGGACTTGTGTTGAGTGACTGTGCATTTGTCTGCAGAAGGGATGCTAGTTTTCAGTAGCTAGCACTCTGTAAATGTAGGCAATTGCACTGTTTTGCCAACTCTCAAATATACTACTTAATTCTCTCCAGGCATATATCTATATATGTACCAGTGTAGGCTCTGACAGTATCTTTTCAATGCATCCACATTTTGTTAATAGGATCACTTTCCCAGTGGAATTAATCTGATGCTTTTCTTAAAATGTGTAACCTTGAGTCCACTCCACAAAATAATGCTTTGGTTAGAGCAGTGCTCATAAATAAGGTTATCCTAGTTCCTCAGACGTTAAACATCATCCACAAAAGAGAGCTGCTTTTCAAAGAGATGTTTGTGCTGGGAAGAAAAGATCTCTTCTAATTATGAATGATTTATTGGTGAAAGCAAACAAAGGCCTGAGAGGCACTTCCATGAGCATCCTCATGTGTGGTTTGCAAGGCTGAAAGGGATAGAGACTGCCTAGATATTACTAGTGGACATTATATGAATTCTAAAACTACTAAAAGAAAACCCTCTCTATCAGGCATCTAAGGAAACAGTATTAAAACACACATTTGCTGATGTTTGCAGGGTGGACAGACACAGAACTACAAAAAATGGTTAAAGGATACAATCCTAATCCTAATCACTATGTTGGTACTGACCCTACCAATGTTCTTCCAGAAACACTAACAGAAATACTGTACTTAATGCATCTTGTTACCCTGATTAATATCAAGTAGACTTCATGGGCAATCATTTGGAAATTGTCTCAGGAACATAGGGCAATTTTATATAATTGAAACAATTCTGTGGGCAATGCCAATCATGAAGAGTTCCAAATAGTTCTCACCTCCTTGGACAACAGCAAACCTGTTTTCATTTGGAATGAGTGAGAGTAACCGAATTGATTTAGGCCTCCTTATTTATCTTCTAGAAAAAAAATGTAGTTCCATCTAGCAACAAAAGAGAAAAACTAAATTTGCAGTAGGGCCAGTTCTTGTGACTACCAAACAAACCTCATCTATTTTTTAGCTCCATCCTTTAGGTCTGAAATGAATCTCCCTGAAGCAGTGTCAGACTTTGTGCCAAGTGACTAGGATATAAACATCCTTTTGGTTGCTCAGCAAGACATATGCTCTAAAGAAAACTGGGCTCAAAACAGGCACGTGGGTTTCTATAGAATAAGGGAGAACCCTCCACAGAGCTCCATTTTGTGAGCCTTGTCTGAGCTCTTTGTCTCCGCCATGCTAATGGCAATCTGCTGTTCCCATGATCCCTCACACTAATGAACTGCTATAAATTTGGTTTGGCTGCTCCAGAGATTGCACTCAGCTTCTGGGCAATGCTGAGAATGCATCCTAGATTCTAGCCTCACCTTTTACAAGGTGTACTCAGCATTGTGGGCAATTTCCTTGGGAGATTATTCTATTTAAAGAACTACACTTCCCGCACAATACGGCAAGCTCTGTGTTTATACATGCATAATGTCAAATCCTCTCTTCCACACTCATGGAGGGGACAAGGCCAAGAGAGTCCATCTGTAAGAAGGGAAAACAATACCATGAAGTGGCCATGGCAATGGGATATGGAAGTTCACATACACTTAACGAACACGAGATCTCATATGGAAGCTGAAAGGTCAGATAGGCAAGGTGTGGTTCCCTGACTGAATATAATCAGGGATGAGGGAAGGCTGAACCAGAGCAGCAGTCTCTATACATTCTGTTACTGACCTTAAACAGGGAACCACATTCCATTCTTAACCAAATTTATAAAAGTATACTTTCCATAGACAAAAGCCCAGGAAACCACTCTAAAATGGCAGAATGTACAAACCCAATATGACAACTAGCTTCATCTTTAATTTGCAGGCAGCCAGAACCACAATCCTTGAAATTGCTTAAACTTAAAAATAGAAATGACAACATAAAATTTATAATGCTGATTTTCCAATTAAACCCTCAGTTAGAAATGGCAAAAAAATTAAATGTCATCTACAAAACAGCCAAATCTTGGCTTGTAAAAAATCTCTTAAAGGATGCTTTAACTGAAAAAATAATATAGCTGTCATAATTGTGTGGCAGCCTAGATTCGGTGGTCAGTCTGATGTGCAGGATGAGGAACAAGTTACTATTTTTGCCAGGGGATAATGCAAGGAGAAAACACGGCTACAAAAATCAGATACTTCCTAATATGCTGGGTTTGTTTACTAACAAATGTCCCGTCCTCACAGTAAATAATATGTTATATGAAAGGTAGTCAATACACATTGGTTGAATAAACACAGAAAAAGAGGATTTATAGTGTTTGTGAAACTGCCAGCTATGTACACATTGTTACTAAGTACACGGGTAGTCTTTGACATTCAAAGACTTTCTATCTATTAATACTAAAGAAAGACATTGTCTGGACTTTCAAAGAGAAGAAGAAAATCTGGTCAAGAGTGATTTCAACTCACCTGGCTTTAGGAGGTATGGAGCAAGCATGGGACAATGGGGATGAACAGGGGTTCTGGGGTGGGTAGGGGGACAGCTCATAGCTATGGCTAGCTGACAATGTAGATTCTTTCATTCCCTCTTTACAGTCAATCTCCTGGGTAAATATTTGCTACTCATTGCAGAGAGGTGACAGCTGATCAGATCCAGCCTAGTGGGCACAAGAAGGAGACTGCTCTTTCTCACATCCTGCTTCTGGAATCATGACAGAGAAGCCACTATGCAGGGCACTCTGACGATGTACACTCCAGAGCCATCAGTAAGAATGCAGGTTCAGGAACCCAAAAGTTTTGGTTTTGCCTAAAAAGGCTATAGAAACCTTGTCTCAGTACAACCCTAACATCTTGATAATGGTGCATTACATATTGGCGGAACCAATTTCATAGTAATTGAGTAGGTTAGAAAAACATTCAGGAAATATTTTAATCTGGCATGAAAATGAGATAAGTTGTGACACATCCATACTTATTTACAGTCATTACAAGACAATATTAGGAATTCAGACAGCTTGTTCTTCTAGTCTGGGAACAGGAGCTGAGTAGTGTTGTCACTGAATTTGTAGTAGCTTTTGTGGCTGTGTTCAGATAGTTCATTTGTCAAAGGTTACTTTCCAAAGGTTTTGTGTTTTCGATTTTGGCAAAAATCAACCTCAAGCTATGTAAGCAGTAGTTATAAAATGCACAGTTAAGTTAAATGACTGATGAAAAGGATTCCCTCATAAGTATCTAAATATTGAAATATAGTGTGGTGGCTTGCTTCCAATCTGTTACTTTAAAATATAAATCATCACCTATTTTATGTAATAACAATAAAATCCTTAGTTGTTTAAACTAGGCACAGATAAAAGTTTACAAGCTTAAAAACTGAACAAGAATTGTTATGCTTTTCCAACAATGAAGATATTTTGGCAAGGTCTTCATAATTCAAATACTCAAGATAGCTTTATGACTTCCCAAGACATTAATACCTGTCTGTGCTGTGAGGACATACATGCTTTACTACGCGATTTAGTACTGGCCAATTTAAAAAATATTTTTAAATATTTTCACTGTAATATTTTTAAAAACTGTATAAGCTTAGTTTGTTAATTCAAAGTATATGGCTTTAGTAATGGCATGCAGCTAATTTAAATTTGTATTAAGTCAGCATTTAATTCATGGCCAAATTTTCTATAATTAGACAACTAATGGTCCTACAAAAGAATAAAGTATGTTAGATGTATTAGTTCTCAGCACACAAGGTTTTATGCTGATGCAGGTTTGTGTGATCATAGAAAGAAAGGAACTCAAATCATATAAAACGGAGAGATTTTACCAAACAGGTGTTGGCAGGGTCAGAGTTCATTAGCAGATGCTGAGAACCCACAGACTAACAGACCTCCTGGCCTTGGGCAGAAGATGGAAGAGTATTCCCAGAGCACACTGGTTCTGGAGCAGAGATAGGGCTGATTATTCAAGGGAGACATCACAGCAGGATCTTCCAGGATTATTTTCCCCCACACGCTCTGGCTGCACTAGAAAGAGTGCAAGCAGATACCCCAGCTTCTTTCCCACCCATCTCCAATCTCTAGTGGTATCTTTCATGAGCCAGATCCAACAGAAAGTTAAGAGGTCAGCTGCCATGGCAAGAGCAGGGCAAGGAAGGGTGGCTCAGTGTAGGGGAGCACACACAGGGAATTGGTTGCTTATGCAGCTGTCACTGAAGTCTGACCTTGGGTGAAAACGGAGCAATGGCCTCTGACTTAATCTGCAATAAGTCTTCTAGGAAATACCATTTGGAGAGGAGTTTTTAAAAACATACAGTCTCTATCTTCATGTTTCTGCATTCTCCATCCTTAAAGATCTACTCAATTGTTTTCAAGTTCAACAATCTCTCTGGTTAGCAGCCTTCTCAAAGGCGCATCTGAGAGCATTCTGAGCCATGGGGGCTCTTCATCTAACTGTAAATAAACAAACATAAAGTGCAGGGATTTACCCAAGGCCCTACTGGAGATAACTCTTCCAAAATGGCAATCCAGCCACCCGAAGTGACAATACCCAACAGCTCTCTCACACATTCAATTTGAAGTATACCATCTAATCATTTGTTTGAAGTTCTCTCATTCATTAACTTTGTGTGTGCAGGTTGTGTGTGTAGGTTTTATCTACCTTCAGATTACAGGATAAAGGTAAACACAGAGAAGGAAGAGTCAAAGCTGCCATTTTCAGGAAGCCTGCTTAGCAGAGCTAGAGGTAAAAGTGAGAAATGGTGTACACTGCTGGCTATTGTGCAGCAGAGGCCCGATTTCACACACTGTTGTCACTGCATGAATGTCTGCTGAATTGGCTAAACGTTCATTTGTCTCCAAAAGCAAGTATGGGAAACAGCACATAATTACTTCTTGGGAAAAAACCCAACTAATGTTTGAGGTTGCATATGCATAAACACACACACACACACACACACACACACACACACACACACCCCTACCTTAAATGTAGCATATACTAAGTAACTATTTTTCTTTGGGCATGACCTTTAGTAAAAGCCTTGGATATTGAGTCTGTGATGAGGATCCCATTATGTTTTTTCCTTTGACCTTGAAGAAAATCTTCACATGAAACTCCTACCTGCACATGCTACAGCATACTTAAGGCTTCATTCTGAAAACTGTGTTGTATCTTTGAATTTGGAAAACAGTCTTTCTTTCTGATCATGGTAAGAAAATGTAGAACCTGGTACAAGAGCCAAGAGCAATTGATATGTATCCTTTGTTTTTTTTTTTAAATAAAAAATTAGAAAGCAAAATGTTGCAAACCTGGTCTTCACTAAACAAAAGGCTCAGTTTTATTAAAGTTGTCCAATTATGAAGTTAATTTCGAAGCATAACCTTTAGGACTGGAAAGCAACAATGTTCCATCAACTTGAGTCTGACCAGGCAACAGGAAGACAGGCTTTGATGATAGCTGAAAGACCATTTGACTGGAATAACTTATTATCAGACCCACAGTTTGTAGGCTGTCTGTCTTCCAGGCATTGAATTGAAATGGCCTTTGATACCATAAATGTAACACTCTTCAGAATAAAGCAGTCCTTCCCTTTTACTTTAAGAAGAAATGAACCAAGTCCCAGGTATCAGCACCGGCTGGGCCTTTGAACCAAGATTACAGAGATGAAATCCTGTTTGGTGAGGAGAATCCATTTTGATTTAACAAAAGGATCCAGTCCTGTGAGAAAATACTGCCTTTCCTGGATGTACCCTCTCATTCCCAGGCTGTTCTCTCCCCTTGGGGGGTGGAGGGGCAGGGAAGCATGGCTTCCAGGAGCAGGGGAGCACCCACCGGCTGCCAGGAGCAGGATCATAATGCCTGTGGAGGCTGGTGGTGTACTTCCTTCTCACTGCAGATGGAAATTCAGAACACAGCAAGAGGAAATTGCCTTTGAGCTCCACCAAAACGCAAGGTTATGCTTAAAGCCAGAGTAAAGGATAACAAAGGCAGCTCAAATTCATTATGGGTAATCTGTAGCTCACTAAATCTTTCTACCACATTAATTTACAAGCCTCACTGAAGCAGTTTTGTAACACCTTATACTAGAAGGCCGGAACAAGTTAAAGCCCACAGATGCACATTTCAAAAACTACCAACTCTTTTTATTGCTCCAACTCAATTTTTTATTTGTTCCTATCATTTGATGAATGTTAAGGAATTTTAGGTATCTATCTTCTGGAAACCTAAAAAAATGAAAAGATAAAAACTAATTCCAATAGAGTTTTGAAAAGATAGAATGTTACAATCAAATATTGATATTTATTTGGTTCTACCATGTGATGTACATTTTAGCTTTAAGGCTAGACCTCAAAAAAGCATCAGGGATAACTAGCAAGTGACTCAAATTGTCCCATGGAAGAATGGTTCGGAGACTTTAACTGCAAGTATTGGCAAAAGGGGGCTGTTTCTTCCTCAGACTCAGGTGATAATACCATTTAAAGATTTATATCATATTAAAACAATCTGTCTGAACATGCAGCCAAAGCTAGAGAAAAGAGCCTAGTATCTGAGTCACAGCTCCAACTGTGCTGGACCTTAAGTGGCCAGACAACCCTAGGCATTTGGCATCGACCAAGTAAAAATTTAAGTCAGTTTGAAATGGTGCTGTCACCTGCCCCTAGAACAGCAGTTCTCAACCTATGGGTCAAGACCCCTTCAGGGGTCCAATGACACTTTCACAGAGGTTGTATATCAGATATCTATATTATGATTCATAACAGTAGCAAAATTACAGTTATGAAGCAGCAGTGAAATAATTTCATGGTTGGGGGCCAGCACAGCATGAAGTGCTGCATTAAAGGGTCACAGCATTAGGAAGGTTGAGAACCATTGGTCTAGAGGAATCCTGACTCTAAAAACACGAGAAACCTAAAAGAGTGATTGAGTCTCACATTTCTAATGACTTCTCTTTCTTATTTACATGGTATCCTTCAGTCATAACAACTCAGGGCAGCATATACTTATAAACATTACATTAACATCAATTTATTTTTAACATAGTACACAGAAAAGGAATGAGGGAGCTAGGGGCATGATGGATTTGAAATCTTACATGCAGAGACTTGGAGGTCAAAGGCCTTCACAAATACTCATCAAATGATGGCTTAAAGAGGGTAAGGCAGGGAGTGAATCTTGGATTTGGGAATGGTACACCACCAGGCTCTGGCAAGTGACCCAGGTTAGAGATCGTGAACCAAAGTGCAGCCTAATGGGAATGGCTCAAATAGGACACAGGGATGGAAACAGGTTACATGTGGGAGGTTCTTCGCTGACACAGGAAAAGAAGCATGAGTTTTGAGGGTAGGGAAGAAAACAATGACGTCTGCAGAATGTACAGGCATAGAAGGCCTGCAGGTCTAGAGAAGCACAGGAGTGAACCATGCAGCCAAGTATGTCGATAGAAGGAATCCTTGACATCAGGTTGACAGTCCAGCAGTGGGCACTGTCACCAAAGCCTTATCCGGGGATGGGATGAACAGGCCTTCACCTAGGTGAAGGCAATCTTCCCTGTTTTTGTGCTCCACGGAAACAGAATTCTGACCCCCCGCCCCATGTCTTGCCCTTGGTTGCACCTGACTGGGGCATCACTCAGCAGGTGCTAGGAGACATCAGAGTGGCCGACAATGTCACTAGTGGCCAGGACATTGCAAGGCTAGGTTACTGCTCCTGTGGTGTGTTTTCCAGACACCTTTCAGGGTTAGAGCTCTCGCCTCATTATCCAGCTCTCACCTCTTATTTCATGCCAGAGCATAAGCATGGGAACATTAGGCGTCACCACAGCTGGCAATGCTTTCTGGGGATTTCTCAAAATATAGGAGCTGGAAAAACTATCCTGTTTTAAAGTGAAACTGCTGCTTGTTCGTCCACCCTTTTCCTCTTGCTCACGCGGCACTTACAGGCAGGCTGCAGAACAGAGGCGGAGGTCTGCTATTGGGTTTCCTCTGGTAACTCTTTAAATTAGAAAGAAAGGAGAAGGAAGGAAGGAAAGAAGGAAGGAAGGAAGGAAGGAAGGAAGGAAGACTGAATCTTGGAGAAACAGAGGAGGCTGAGGAAGCCACTAGGTGTGGCTGTCCCGGAATCCGGAGGCCAGCGAGGGAAAAGCTGCAGACCTTTCCCGGAGGCCACCTTGGGAAAACAGCTCAAGGCTTGCATTGTTGCACACAGCGAGGTTTCCGCGGCGGGTGGCTCTTGAGTGCTCCAGCCGCGCACAAGTACCAGCCCCGCCCGCTTGGGTCTGGATTCCACGCAAGGTCCACGGCCCTCTGGCCTTGGCCTACCTGTGTGCGTTCCTGCCGCGAGGCGCGGGACCGACCAACCACCTCCGCAGCTCCTGTCCTCACACTGGGAGAGGAAGCATTTTCATTTTGTTTTCGAATATGTGTGTGGTTTAAGTCTACCGGGGGCAGGGGACAGGTGCACAAGGCACGCGGGAAAGGCGCAAAGCTCATATGGGCGCGGACGCAAAACTGTTCCAAGAACCACGGAGGAAACTACCGCT